TTGGTTCTTATTGCGTGGACTGGGTGTGAGGGATGAGTTGCGGGAGATGTGGGAGACACGGTTGAGGGCGTTCTCGACCACTGAGAGGGGGGGAAGTTGCGGTCCTTGAAAAACGAGGACAACTGAGATGTACGGGAGTGGAATGCCTCATCCTGGGAGCAGATGCGACGGAGGCGAAGGAATTGGGAATAGGGGATGGCATATTTGCAGGAAGGTGGGTGGGAGGAGGAGTATTCTAGGTAGCTGTGGGAGTTGGTGGGCTTGAAATGAATATCGGTTTCTAGGTGGTTCCCCGAGATGGAGACAGAGAGGTCCAGGAAGGAGAGAGAGGTATTAGAGATGGTCCAGGTAAACTTAAGGTTGGGGTGGAAGGTGTTGGTGAAGTGGATGAACTGTTCGAGCTCCTCGTGGGAGCACGAGGCGGCGCCGATACAGTCATCAATGTAACAGAGGAAGAGGTGGGGTTTAGGGCCAGTGTAGGTACGGAAGAGGGATTGTTCCACGTAACCTACAAAGAGGCAGGCGTAGCTTGGGCCCATGCGGGTACCCATGGCCACCCCCTTTGTCTGTAGGAAGTGGGAGGAATTGAAAGAGAAGTTGTTGAGGGTGAGGACGAGTTCGGCTAAGCGGATGAGGGTGTCACTGGTCGGGCCTGCGGGACAGGAAGAAGCGGAGGGCCTTTAGGCCATCTGTATGGGGAATGCAGGTGTAGAGGGACTGGACGTCCATGGTAAAGATGAGGTGTTGGGGACCGGGGAATTGGAAGTTTTGGAGGAGGTGGAGGGCGTGGGTGGTGTCACGGACATAGGTAGGGAGTTCCTGGACAAAGGGGGAGAAAATGGAGTCAAGATAGGTGGAGATAAGTTCGGTGGGGCAGGAGCAGGCGGAGACAATGTGTCGACCAGGGCACTCAGGTTTGTGGATTTTGGGAAGGAGATAGAAGCGGGCGTTGCGGGGTTGGGGAACGATGAGGTTGGAGGCCGTGGGTGGGAGGTCACCTGAGGTGATGAGGTTGTGGATGGTTTGGGGGATGATGGTTTGGTGGTCGGGGGTGGGGTCATGATCAAGGGGGCGGTAGGAGGAGGTGTCGGAGAGTTGGCGTCTGGCCTCAGCGATATAGAGGTCAGTGCGCCATACTACAACTGCGCCTCCCTTGTCCGCGGGTTTTATGGTGAGGTTGGGATTGGAGCGGAGGGAGCGGAGGGCTGCACGTTCTGCGGGGGAGAGGTTGGAGTGGGTGAGAGGGGTGGAGAAGTTGAGGCGATTGATCTCTCGACGGCAGTTAGAGATGAAGAGGTCAAGGGACGGTAGGAGGCCTTGGGGTGGTGTCCAGGAGGAGGGTGTGTGTTGGAAGCGGGAGAAGGGGTCAGTAGGGGGAGGATTAGACTCACGGTTAAAGAAGTAAGCGTGGAGGCGGAGGCGGCGGAAAAACTGCTCAATGTCCAAGCGTGACCGGTATTCGTTGATCTGTGGGTGGAGGGGGACAAAGGTGAGCCCTTTACTGAGGACTGACCGTTCGTCCTCAGTAAGGGGGAGGTCTGGGGGGATGGTGAAGACTCGGCAGGGCTGGGCGCTACTGTCTCCTCTGGAGCTGCTGGCTGTGGAGGCTGTGGGCGGAGTGACGTCGGCATCGGCAGTGGGCAGAGTTGCGTCGGCGTAGGCTGTGGGCGGAGTTGCGTCGGCGTCGGCGGTGGGCAGAGTTGCATTGGAGTAGGCGGTGAGTGGAGTTGCGCCAGCGGTGGGCGGAGTCGAGCCGGCGTCAGCGGTAGGCAGAGTTGCATCCGCGTCGGTGATGGGCGGAGCGGCGTCGGCGGTGGGGGGAGTGGGGTAGGCGGCGGCGGCAGCGGTGACGGTAGGCACGACTTCAGTGTCTGTGGTATTGGTCTCGGAAATGGAGGCGGTGGCATCGGCAGGGATGGCGTTCGCTGTCCCGGAAGTGGGGAACCCGGCGGTATATAAAATCAGTGCAAAAGCAGTGTGCTAAATTTCAGATAAGGTACATTTATAAAATACTGCATGATGCATTCAATTGATACATGTTCATCAATAATAAAAGTTAAAGAACTATATAAGCTACAAAAATATTAATTGCAGAACTCAGTTTTTAAACTCAGTGAACAAAAGAGTACATACGTTTGCTGCACATTTTGTAAGAAAATAACTACATCTCTTCAAAGCATTACCCACTAAAACAAAAGTGTATCAGTTTATGTTGTATGTTGATGATATCAACATTTATACAATATCTGCTCTCAGGCCCAGAAGCAACGTATGCCAAATCAGCAGATGAACCTTTTTACAAATTGATGCAAATTTCTTAGACAATTTCAGTTTTTTTTTGCTTTTGCACCAATTATGCTCTGGAATGAAGAATATTTTGAGATTCAATAAGTCTTGATGTTTTATATTTCTTTCAAGGACACTGATCTGAAGAAAACAGTGGATGAGAGCTCTCGTATCCAGCGAGCATACAGCCACTACTTTGATCACACCATTATGAATGACAACCTTGACAAGGCCTTCCAAAAACTTCAGGCTGCTATGGAGAAACTCTGCACAGAGCCCCAGTGGGTACCAGTGAGCTGGGTCTACTAACACTTTTCAAAGGGTGGAAGGATATGGTTTACACAGAGCACCATTAATTTTACAGAAGAAGTCCTTTAGAATCTAAGAAACCTCCATTTGGACTGATTATATTTGGGGCACCAGTTCATGGTGACGGCAGTTAAATTATGCAAATCAGCAATGGGGGATAACTAAAAAGTTTTTTTTATGAAAGGATGGAAATGCTCCAGCTACCATTACTTTTTATTTTTATGAGCAATACAGGGATCAGGCAAATGTAAGCTTTTTCAGCAGTTTAGTCCAAAGGTCATTGTCAAATTTTGCTAGATCCTATAAGCCCTTTAGTTATCAAATAAAACGACTAGGGAACCAAGATTTCACTTATTCATTGTTGGATTTCACCAGGGAAGTGAACAATTTATTCCTTCTTAAGGAAATTAATATGGGCACATTTGAGTTGAAATTCAAAACAGTCATTCTCACTTAGGTTTCTGTTTGCATTTACATTCTTATAAAGAACTTCACAATGATGAAAGTGACAACCTTTGAATTCAAAGGTTATCAGAATTGTAACTTGAAACCATTACCCTTAATTTCTAAAGATCATTTAAGATGGATTAAAATTTAGTTCCATTGTACAGATTTGCCGCTAGATACTGAAATTTTGGTCTTCACTCAATGAAAAATGCAATACATAATTAAAACTATGAAAAATATAACACTATTGTTTTCATTTTTTGCAGTTTCAGAAGGCAGCAAACCATTATAATTATGATAATGTCTTGATTAAATAGTAGAAGACGAATTGCCTATATTAATATGTCCCTGTGTTAATATAGTAAACATGGTTTCATCCCAGATTTGACCACTTTTGTGAGTCCTATAAGTTGTTAATGGAATTGGACGCAAATGTATTGTTCTGTATTGGCTTTGGGAATTTTTTTTCCACAACTCTTATTCTATTGGACTTTTTCGGTCAGACTTGAGATAACATTTACTAATAACAAGGATCTTCTACAGGACATTATCTCTTTTCATTGGCTCACTTGAACTTTATTTTTAAAATTGGATTCAATTTTAATTGAAACTTTTTAGGATAAATTTAGTTTGCGGTAAAACATAGACTTTTTGTTACCGTTCTTTGTCCCCTTCATTTTTATTTAACGTTTACTATAAATCAGGTATAATTCATACCATGTGGCTGGAACACTAATACTGAAATAATCAATCTTTTATTGCCATCGCTCATGTCAGTTTCAAAGCTGTGGTGATATGGATTCAGGCACTTCAGGTATGATTTGGTTATCAACTTTTAATTTTAGCAGGTTCTTGAGGTGCAAGTTAAAGGTTTTGCTTTCTGTTTCCCAGTAAAACAAAGCTGAAATGGAATTGAGACATAAAATTGACAACTGACAACACCCAAGGCAAAACATCTCTACTGGAATTGACATCCAGAAATTTGCTCTCACAAATAATCCCCACACACACATTTAAAAATATACATTTTGAACAAATTCTTAATATTAACAGAGTATTTGTACTGTATTACTGCCATAGTCTTGTTTAATATTTTTGCTAATATGAAGATGTCCTACTTATTTCACTGAATTTATTTATAAGCATCAATCAGCTTGCAATCACTACATTGTTGTCCTGTGTTACTCTCTTTCATACACACCAGTCAGTAATCAGTAAACAATTTCAGGAATAAAACCCCTCCAGTCAATAATTTTACTAGTAGTGTTAATGTGAGTACAACCCAGAAAATCCTAATTGTACTTCCTTTTTTTTTCATTAAAATTAGGGAAGAAGTTCACTTTGTGGATTAGTGATTAAACTTATGTATATGAAGGATTGCAGAGAGTATTGCTGATACTTAAATATCTAGACATTCTTTGTAGATTTTGTTTTATACTATATTTCAAGTGCTAGCCAATAGTAAAAAGATATTGCTTCCGTAAGTAATATTGGACCCATCCTATATACTTGGTCAGTTAATATATTGAAGATCATTTTTTAAAACAAATCCCTGGAAGGGATTACTTTTAAAACATTGTTTTTTATTGTATTTTTAACTTTGTAACAAATTTTAAAAATCTCTATATATGTAATGTGAATTATCAATGTAAAAAAGACTCAATTATAGATTTAATTTGAATGAAACACTTGAAATGGTATACAATTGCTGTAAATGTATGATTGCTGTGGGCTGCATTTAGCAATTATTAATAATTGTATAGTTTTACAAAACAGATGTTTTCTTTGGAATTTTACAGAATCCTCTCATCCTGAATGAAAACTAAGCCCTGTGGTTTAATAGAACTGTAAAAATTACACAATAACATATGTATCAGCAGTTTTACTTTATAAATGAGGAGGACACCAAGAAAAACTATGAGTTGCAAGGTCCCTTTGAGAGGCTAACTCAAATCATCCTAGACGTGGTCATTTTGCTTGTTACTTTTTGACTGCCTCAGCCTTGGAGTGGCATTTGTTGAATTGTTTAACCACACATATTTCAATCCTTACAAGTCACCATGATTCTCCACTAACCAAATGATCTGCAATTGTCGTTTCTAATCTTATATATATTCCTATGCTTCTTAAAAGCAAAACAAAATTTCCCGGAATCTCCAGAACTATTAAGTCTGGAGGCAAGAGGTTTGGCATGAACATAAATATGAGATTTCCTTTACATACAATTTTAATGCCACATTGTAAATGCATTCTTTAGAGTTTTGCTGTAATAGGTGCATGTACAAAGTCTTCCGCCATAACCTATATATTATGAAAATGAAGCAAAATCTTTTTGAACCCTTCCACTGCACGTAACAGTAGGCCTGTATTTAAGACTTCAGATTTTTTGAGAGAAGTAAATTTGTTTCATCCGACTCTTCAAGTTTCAGTGGCTAAAACTATGACTCCAGGGGAGCCCATGTATCTCAATGCACACCAGAGTTTGAATACAGATCACACTCTCCATGCTCTCTCTCCCCTCAACTCTGACATCATGCATTTTGTCACCACCCCGTGCTACAATGAGCTTCACCACCACCCCAGCCCTTCCCATCCTTCCCTAACCCCATTCTTTCCCTCTCCATTGGAAACTCATTGCAGATTCCTAAGTCCCAGTCACCCTCTTCCTTTCACCTCTGATTTCTGCTTAAAGAACCTGCATACAGATGAACTTTTAAATCTAACTTCCTCCTACTGTTTTCTTCTTTATCTGAGTAATCATTTCCTCATACATCAATGACATACATTTGTATGATTTTCTATACAAGAAACACTATATGAATTCAAATTGTTGAGAATTCTCTTAGGCTGAAGATAATAAAGTCATTTTCTATATTCATTCAATTATTTTAAAGCATCCTTAATATATATATATATATTCTACTTGGTTGTCCTATTCAGGTTCTCTACAGTTACTTTGATAGAAATTAAACATAAATGACTACATTTCCATTTGAAATATTTACTATTTTGGTTTTATAGTAAAGATTTGAAGCTATTTGTGTTTACAAATCTCTGGATCGTTCTTTTAGTGCACAGTGTAATCATTACAATGAGACCCTATTCCAATTTGGAAGCCATAGTAAGAACAAAAAAGTCAGTTCCTTAGACTTGATTATATGTTGTCAATTGCACTGTGTATGCCTCTCAGTTATCAAGTCAGCTCCTAACCTCTGCATTATGAGAAAATTCGATCTGTTCATCTGAGGTACTATAATAATTATTATCAGTTGTTTACTCATTCACATTAAGGACATAGGAATAAAGAAGTAGACCTTTCAAGCCTGCTCCACCATTCAAAATCATAGTTTCATCATCTACCATAATGCTACATTCCTGCGCAATTATAGAAAATAGAAACAAGTGTAAACCACTTGGCTCTTCGAATCTGCTCCACCATTCAATAATATCATGGTTAATTGTTCAACTCAGTACCCTACTCCCAAATTGTCCCCATGCCTTTTGATCCCTTTAGTTGTAAGAACTATACCTAACCCCTTATTGAAAACAATTAATGCTTTGATCTCAACTGCTTTCTGTGGCAGAAAATTCCTTAGGCTCTTCATTCTATGGGTGAAGACATTTCTCTTCATCTCAGTCCTAAACAACCTACCTCTTATCCTTATACTGTGACCTCTGTTTCTGGACTCCCCAGTCATTGGAAACATCAATCCTGAATTCATTCCGTCTAATCCTGTTAGAATTTTATAGGTTTATGTGAGATCCCCCCTTATTCTAAATGCCAGTGAGAAAAGCCCTAATCGATCCAGTCATTCTTCATAGGTCAGTCCTGTAAGCCCATTCTTCAACCTGGTAAATCTTCATTGTGCTGTCTCCATAAGCAAAAACATCTTTCCTCAGGTTAGGAGACAAAAACTGCACACAGTATGTTAGATGTGGCCCCACCAAGTGGTGACCACGTGGTCTCCAGATCCCTTGATGTCATTAGTAACAATAAATCTCTTGATTTCTGCCTTGGACTTACTTAATGCCTGAGCGTCCACATCCCTCTAGGTAGAGAATTCTGAGAATTCATCACTTCTGCTTAAATGAGCTCCTTCACATCTCAGCCTTGCATGGGTTATCTTTTATTCTAAGACTGAGTCCCTGTTGCCTTAGCCAGGGGGGAAATCTGTTCTGCATTTACTCTGTTTTGAACATTATGAATTTTGTAAGTTTTATTAAGATTCCTCATTCTTCCAAACTTCAGAGAACAGGCCCAGTCACCTCACTGCCTCCTGACAGGACAGTCCCATCATCCCAGGAATCAGTTTGTGAACCTCTGCTGCACTCTCTCAATGGCAAGTGTATCCATACTTAGGCAAGGAGAGCAGAACTGCACGGAACACTGCAGGTGCAATCTCACTAATAGGTTATGCAATTCAACCTACACTTCTTTGCTCCTATGATGAAATCCTCTTGCAATAAAAATATGCCATTTGCCTTGCAAATTTCTTACTACACCGGTATAAGCACAGCTGGGCAATTTATCATCCAAATCCCATTCAAGCATTTCATCCATCCATCTGTAAGGCATGTTCAATGCTGTCGTTGCTAATTATCTGCATATCAGACAGACACAGTTACTTAAATTATGTAGCTACCAATTTTCAGCAAATTGTTTTGCTGCCTGCATAACATTAACATATATTTTTCAGAAAAAAAACAATTGCAATCCTTCACTCACCCTAGTTTTGTGCAGCACAATGAAAGCAGCAAAGAATTTTGCATATTTTTGCAGTGTGAACCAGCAAAGCTATGGAAATTTTCTGTAGATTACTGAGAATGAGAGGTGATTCTGAGTCTTGGCCTTCTAGGATACAGTGCTCAAAATCCATAGTGAACGGTCAAAGATCCTCCATCCATTAAAGTGAATAGGTGGAATTTCACAGGTTGCTCATCTGCAATTTCGTAAATGTATCCTTTGGGAGTGTTTCCACTTGCTGAGAGCCATGGTTTATGGAATCCCTCCTGTAGTTACTATCGGTCAGACAAGTTGTTTATCTATGATTT